TATTCGGAGGAGGTTGTTAAAAGGTTTTAAACATATTTGACCCCTGTGACCTTGAAAATGGGTGAATGTCACACGTTTCAACAAACTTGGTAGCCCTACCTCAGAGCATGTTACTGGTAAAATATCATTATCCTATGCCTCTTGGGTATTCAGAAAAAGTTGTTTTAAGGTTTTAATCATATTTGACCCCTGTGATCTTTAATAATAATAATACTATACAACATTTATATAGCGCTCTATGAAATTTGCAAAATTACTCTAAAGCGCTTTACAACATATGGATAATAGTATTAGTTATAATTGTGAAACAAAAACAAAAAAAGGATGGTATTTACATGACTTCTTTGCCAAGAGCCTAAAATGCAAACGTGAAGAGGGGATTTTTGATGTCCCACTTGAATTCGGCCAGGGTATTTGACTTTCTAATAGCAGATCGTAAGCTATTCCACAACGTGGCCGAAACCCTCCCAAAGCACCGGTTTCCATAGGTCACAGTACGGGATTTTGGGACACACAATGATTCTGACTCCGACCGCAGTGATCGTGACGGCTAATACAGGGTAACAAGGTACTCGGGAGCTCTTCCATACAGTGCTTTGTATGTGTACACCAAAATTGTGTACTGCGACCTGTTTCGAACAGGTAACCAGTGCAATAAATATAGCACATGTGTGATGTGCTCTCTCTTTCGAGTACGAGTAACCAGTCGTGCTGCAGTGTTCTTGACCCTTTTCAGACGACTAGTTAGTTCGTCAGATATACCACAGAGCAGGGCATAATCCAACCGAGGTAACAAGTGAATGGTTTGGTTTGGTTTGGTTTGGTATTGTTTAACGTACTATTGACAACTATGGTCATTTAAGGACGGCCTCACCTGTGTGCAAGATGCATACGTGTAGTTAAAGCGTGTGTGTTTTGGCAGGCTGCGATATGTTCGTGTTTGTCTCCTTGTGAAAATGCTAACCGGTCAGTGTCATCGACCCAAAAGGAAGCACTCGCTGTCCGCCATTTGCAGACCCTCGGCATCGTGTCCTGTAGATCTACCTCTACCCGGTTCGTCTGAATGTTGCTTTCAGTATCACACGGCTCGAATACCACGAATGAAGATAGGTATGATGTTCCTACATTCACAGTGCAGTCTATTAGCAATATAATGTCTACTCCGGGGTTCTTTGCCAACTCAACATTCAACGATTGTGATTTCATTTTCAACAAATAACTGGATGGCGACATATTTTTCCACCGCGACCGAATTACTGATTTGTGAATTTCACAAACATGTCCCGCGGTGTGACGTACTTAACGTGCGATGTTAATGAGCAGTAGTGCTCATGTTATTCTTGTGCTTTAAATGCACTTTTATGATCATAACAATGAAAAGTTTCAAATAAAACTGTACGAATTTACATAAAACATCTCTTGTTTTTGATTTGTTTCCACGGACTTTATTGGGCAATTTCCATCACAGGGGCTATTCAAACAGATCAACATTCCAGAGGATATTGGCGGGATATTCAAATATTTCATACAGTCATTATTTTTTTAAGGACAGAAACGCATGAAACTGTTAATATATGTATTAAACTGCTTTTAGATGCCATTCATAGGCAATACGAATGCCCACTGCATTCATATTGCCTATCAATGGCATCTTAAAGCAGTTTAATGCTTTAACATTTTATCAAGATGTCAATCTGGTCTCCGAACAAGGTACTCCACAGTAAATCAGCTATTATCTTTTTATCATAAAATAAATACAAAAATAAATAAATAGAGAAAGAACTTACATGTTTATTTTGTGATATGATGAAGGCTTGTGATAGGGTTTGGTACATTGGTCTTATTCAAAAGGAACTATGGACTCAGAGGTCAACTTCTGTCTTAGATTCATAACTTCCTTTCTGATCGACATCAACGTGTATACTTATTTAATTGTTAATGCAGGATTATCCCAGGGATCAGTCCTGGGTCCGTTATTGTTTTTACTATTTCCGATGATGTCACAAGTAGCAGTATTGTTTTGCTAATGACACCTCCTTAAATATTAGTGTTGGTAACAATCCGAATCAATCTCCACAACTTCTAACTAATGATGATAAAAGTGAATTGGCAAAAATTTGGGACATCAATTTTAATTCTACTTTCAGGAAAAAAGTCAGTATGCACCACCGATTCTTGTTGAATGTAATATTATCGGAAATGGTTCAACCAATAATCATTTAGGTGTTACATTGTATGTAAATGGTAATGAGGACCTCATATACAGAACATGTACGAACACGCATGTGCTTGAATAAACTAAAATAGAGAAATTGTTATAGAAGTATCTTTTGCATGCATGCTACCTCTACCCGAGTATGCTGATGTCGAGAGGGACATCGCATCATATCAGATGGTCTTATGCAAAGGCATCATTAAAAGTTAGAAAAAAAAATTACCAATTAATTTTAATGTCAGGTTCCTTATCATGTATCATTAAATATTTACATTTGCATGACATTGTCACTATATAGCCTCTTTGAAAGCTGTGTCGTTGATGGGACTTTAATTACCATGCATCACGAGACACAATTCTTAGCTTATTAATATAACACTGACCGGAACTACAATATCCAATATAAATAAACATGACGGCTGCTGAAATATCGCTGGGCATTGTGAGATTTGACAATGTCATTATAAATTTATGTGCAAAATAAAAAATAAAATAAAAAACGCTTTTATTACAACGAAAACAAGACCAAGGTCTGCAATATCGTACAAAATGCACATCGGTTGAAATCACCAATGCCCGCAATGGAAACAATTTCAACGCTCCTGCAATTTATCAGAAATATCGTCTTTTACACTGCACTGATCAAGAGGGGTTCGTTACAAATGTCTGAAATACACATATTCTACAGACCTACTGACACATATGTTACAGACCTACTGATATGAGTCACAGCACACATAAACATTTCAGACATGTGTAACGAACCTGTGGTCCGTCGCAAGATCACTCACTTTAAACGCTATCAGTTTCACGCGTCTCGCATTCACGGTTCCTCAGTTTCTGACGACATGTCAAATAACGAGTCTGTTATAGAATCTACCGACTGTTGTCAGGTTCCCATACAATCAACAAATAAATTCACGCCTGGATTCTTCACAAAATGAGCAAAGAGAAAAGTTCGAATTAACTTCCAAAAATAACTCCCTCGTGGAGGGCAAGGTCGGATTTACGGTGTTCACTGTATTTGTCCATGCGCGTAATTTGTTCCGGGGAAAAATCGAAACAATTTCAAATCTAACTTTCAGCTCAGAGTTCTATTGATAAACTTAAATCACCCTATAGACATATCATACGCAATTGTATTGATACTGAATTGTGGAATAAAATTGAAGTGTTTGTTAAAATTTAAAAGTACTACTTTGTTTGCCAATCAGCACGCGACAATACGCTGTTCAAACTATTGAACGAAATTGTGTGGACTGTCGATAAGGCGGGCATTATTAACTTTAGATATAAATTTTAAGTTAAAAAAGAACATAAGAGGCAGAGAAAACGTAAATATAAGTATTAAACTGTTTTTGTATGGTATTTATGATTAGCGCGCATTATGATTTGTTTGCTTGCAAAGCTGTGTCATTCAAATAGATTATAAATACCATACAAAAACAGTTAAATGCTTAAATAATATGCTACACGTTAATAAAAGTTGATTATCTGTACATGTACAAGACTTTTAACATTTTTATTTTAAATCATTAAACCTATAGTTGCATGAGGTTACTTCGTCTAAATTTCGAAAGACAATTATGACACCTGTTTTACATATTTAATTATTGACATTAAACTTCGTCTTTCATGTATGTCGATATACCATTAAAGGAGAATGTAAGCCCGTTGTTCAATCCTTTTAGACTTGTTTCCATTCTATTGTCAATAAAAAAATTGAAATTAAAGTATTAGCTATTAAACATTATTAATGGCAAAGGATTAAAGAACAAGGTGGAGTCCCGTGTGTTACCCTAGGTAGATGTTGACGAACACGATGAAATATGACTGAGAACGGCGGCTCATAAGTGGTGCAAACAGCAAAACTTCATATGTAGGCACGACAGATTTCCTTTGATTAACTTTCCGAACAAACAATAAAAGCTTAAGGTTTATTTTTTGTTCTAATGAACTTACTGTTTTCATGAAAATGAAGTTGTCTCATAGTTCGAGAAATGGAAAGTAAAGATATACGCTGATATACGCTACTCTAGAAACAAATGTTTCGAAAGAGGCGACCTATGCCGAACCCCCTGCAAAATTCGGGATTTGCTTTAGTGCCATCTACTTTGGGACACAAAAGCGACCAAATATAATCTGCTGCACCCAATACAATAACTAATATATTTGTATTTCTCTTTACTTCTAACTACATTCTAGTGTATTGCTTGGCAATACCTCTTTTTCGTCTTTAGTGTTGAACGTTCGCTCAGGCGAGGAAGGCAATGGAATCTATCCCAAGGTCGGGACATACCAAAGTCCTTAAAAATGGTAGCTGTTATTCCCTGCTTACTTTTCAGCATTTAGAGTAATAGGACAATGTTACCAGGCGGAATGCCGTGCCTTCGGCATGGTATTTCAGTGAGATAACACTATAAAGTTGGCATCAGATCCGCGTTATCACAAGGAGGCAATCACGCCAACATACCATGCCTCCCGTGCACATACTCTCAATCACGCATACATAACACACATGGAGGCACGTCCTTAATGATCATAGCTGTTAATGGCACGTTACTATCACTATCTTAAATGTATTGCTTCCTTATATTACAGAAAGACCATGGTGTTATAAAAAGAAACATCCCGGTATATGCTTTTTAGCCAGTCATCAACAAATAAACAAGCTAGTGCAAATATTAACGCTTAGAACGACAGTAAACACGCTGTTCAACATACGTCCTCAATTTGTACTTATATGATGGCGTCGATGTGGTATGATGAAGTTATAACATCAGAATAGATAAAGATGAATTCTTTTAATTATTAAAGTAAAATAACATATAAATGCATTTTTTCTACAAAGGTTAGTTCCGTGCTCGTGTCGCTTCTCTGCTTGTGTTCCTTTTGTTCTCTAACCTATCACAAACATAAAATAAATCGGAAATATGTATATGGATAGATTATAAAAGTAAACACTCGTTGACAGGGATGTTAATTGATATCAGCATTATGTTAGAAAACAAATTGGATCTATTTCACCATTCAACACTTGTAATATTTTATTTGACAAGGGATCTCACTTTAACGTTTTTACCATACACCTCCAAGAAAGGTACACACATATAAATGTTTGGTGCTCCCGTCAACATGTGGATCGTTACTCGTCCTTTCTATATTGATCTATTTTTATCCAGTTTCATGTGTGCCAGGTGACCCATTGTTTCCTGCAACAGAAATAAAAAAAAGGTTTAAGAGACACGAATACATATCTTAATAAACATACTCTGTTTTCCCTCACTCAAATGTAAACATAGACTTGGAAAAGAACTTTAAAAACCGTTGCTCTTTTAATTGTTTTTTAAGGAAACCAGCTGATTCGACAATAATACGGTCTGTTCCTGGGTACCTTTATTACATAATTTTTAATGTTGACTGAACATTTTATCGGAACTAATTTGTCTTTTTCTTTCTTTTCTTAGTGGAACAAAAAGTCGATTCAACACTGATTCCGCATTTTCTCTGTTTGCCATATTTTTAATTGTATGTATATTTAAAGTATCTTTATATGTTTTATGCATAAAAATCTTGTTCACACTATTTTTATATGGAAAAAATAAGCAAAAACTCGCCAAGTAACAGCATGAACTGTCGATCATACAAGCCTGACGGTTTTATTATGAAACATTCAGAGACATAGATAAGTTAGATAAGTTTCAGGCATGTGAAGCTAGAAAATGTAAATTATATTAATATTTTCTTGGAATTCTTCTGTACTATAGCGACAGAGAATATGACTATATGTTTAGTGCGATGGTCTGAAAGAATATGTCACAACCAAAACATTTATGTATGTTTTGCATGATGGGTAAATGTGCAATCCTGTTTTAGAATCACTTTTTAACGGCTATGTTAACACCTTGTAACTGTATTTCACAAGGTCAAACGATTTCAGGAGTTTAAAAATGTCATGGGACAACACAAACACGTAAAAGGCGGCCATAGTACAAGGAATTTAATTACTGGCATGGTCAAATGTTTCCGATTCAAAAATGTCTCATCACTCTGTACAACACGGAAACGCTTTATTTCTACGCTTTATTTTAATAGCGTAGTGTAAAGAATTCTCCTTTGCATTGATGTGTACTAAAAAACAATAATATGGACCGTCGAATTTGATTTACACGAATATGTCCATCACATTAGAACAAAGTATCTACTGTCATTATATTCTTACGATATAAACCTACCAAATTTTACTCGATAAAGATAGGAAACTATATACTTCCATTACCATATAATCTTACTAGAATCACTTTTGGCAGTCATGCGATGATGATTGTTAAATAGTTTGATAATCATCATATCCAGTCACAGTCGAAAAAAACAATGAGTTATTGGCTATTGTTGACCTACAGTGATGTAACGTTGCATGGCAATCTACAATGCTTACCTGCAATGAAACCTACAACGGTAAAATCCTACCAAGGCTGTATGGAAAGTGGAACCATATTTACTTTGGTGATATCCTCTCAGAAACTGCTTTTACCCTTTGAATTTCTACAGTAAGCAAATGACGTTGTATGTAAACAGTCAAGTTGGAATATAAAACATCGTTGGCTTGTGTCCAATCGGGAATTTCATTTGCCATGTATCAATCCAACGTGCTGTATTTACCTTTGTTGGAAAGGTATATTTCCATTCAATGAGCTACATTTACCTTGTGAATGTGGCCATGTTAGAGCTCTCTTGATAAATTTCCCGAGCTCGTACGCCCGTTTCATTTTATCATCAGTCCTGAGTTGTTCGCGCGAGTCATCTCTGGTGCCGGGTGGGCTGTTACCGAAGTTCTTAGTGACGTCACGTTTGTAGTGAATACCTCCATAACCTGTTGGTACACATGTGAACTTGTTAAGATATCATGATGAGTTAAACAGTGCGAATCAAGAAATGTTTAGATAAATATATATGACATGTAAATTCGTGAGAAAAGCAAATCATCAATGCAAATATCTCACAAAAAGAGTGGTTTTCGAGTCCTAAAAAGAAACGAGATATGTTGTCTTGTTAACCCCTTCATTCCTAGCGGGTAAGTTTACTCAACCAGATTGGTGAAAAGATGTTTCCATTACATTTAGCTATATCATAATTTACGTACGTCAGCTTATAGTGATTAACGGATATTTACAACAATTTACGGTGTCTTACAGTGTTTAAAAGTGATAAACGGTTACCGCTGGTTTTGTATATGCTTCTCCAAAGAACGACGGAAAAGCATATTTATCAATCGTCATGAAAGTAAATATATTTTCCAAAACAAGGGAGATACATTCAACTGATTCCCCGAAACATTGCAGGGTTATTACCTGATTATTAAACAACGTTTCTTCATTTTTTGTAATTTCTGTAGTCACGATCGTATGAACATAATTAGGAATATAATCTTTTTATTTAAAAAGCATAGGGTTGGTTAATATGTCTATTTAGTGTAAACGACACTGTACATTTGTCAAATCATTCAAACCCTTTTGTGATAAAAGGAGAAAAATGACGAATAACGTTTTTCCTAAACACTTTTACTGTGATACTGCAAACAGTGAAGAATATACTGTGATACTGTAAACAGTGAAGGATATACTGTGTTACTGTAAACAGTGAAGGATATACTGTGATACTGTAAACAGTGAAGGATATACTGTG